ATTGTTGTTGGGGGCGATATGCTGACTCTGTAAACCGCTTAGAGAGGGCTGAAAGCCCTATGAAGCGGTATATAAGTCTAACTGCTATTGCTAGTACTGTAGGCTAACTGCACACTGCCAGCAGTTCGATCCTACCCGGCTCAAGCTTGATTCAGCCCTTCCATCTTTCCGAGGTGGGTAAAATGAAAAAACCCAGATTGTTGGGGGCAAGAGGCTGCGTCTGTAAACTGCTTAGAGAAGGCTGTAAAAGCGCCGTGAAGCGGTATATAAATCTAAGTGCTATTGCTCTCTTACACACACATTCCACTACTTACCTTTCGGTTCTTTGTTGTCTTCCGCGTTTTCTTCCTCGGCTTTTGTGGAATCTTTCAGGGCTTCGTATTCTTTTTCCATTTCGGCTGTGCCTGTTTTTGTGCTGTCGGCTTCCTCGGTGCTCTTGTCTAGCGGGATCACAAGCGGAACTATTTTTTTACATCGTCTGAACCGTAGCCCATTCCCACATACACTTGACATACACTACATTAATAACTTTGGATGCTGTAAGGGTTTTGGCAAGACTAGATTCATACAAACAGATTTCTAGAATAGGTTTGCTGTTTAGATTGCGATTTAAATCGATTCAAACAACTGCCAAATTATAATTCAGCTAAGTCTACGGGGAAAAAACATAACTGGAGAAATGGTGCAATATAACACGCTAAGTCACAAAATTATACCTGATAGCTTGTTCTGGGAACTGGATTTCTCAAGTTTCTTTCTTGTCTGCAGGGCGATCATGGCATCTAGATTTTCTGGAAGGCAGAAAAAAAAGACAAAAATTCTCATTCTTGGGCTCCTGCGTAGAATCAAGCAAAGTTAGATGAGCTTATCTCTCTTCTGGAACCAGGAAGGGACAATTAACTCTCCAGTAACTGGCTCTTTAACATCGATGCGGAAAGACAAGAGTCAAACTTTCTCTATTCAGGATTAATTCTAGGAGTTAATTAACTGATTCAATAACATCTAACCCTGTTTCCCCGCCTTATTAAATATACTGTGCAGGCAGAAACAAAAATCTATATATAGACTGGCAAAATAGCTGTGCTGTGGCCATCAAGGATAATTATTTTAGGAAGGAATTCTACATTCATTGTCGCATTGTCCCAGGTACGCTGGTGAAGACCTCTTCATTTGATTGCCATGGTACGGGTAGTCCTTAACTTAAAACAGTTCATTTAGTGACTGGTCAAAGTTAAAACAGCAACACCGATTTTCACAGTTATGACCTTTGCAGCTTCATGTGGGGAAGCCTGATTCACTTAATAACAGTGTTTTACTAACTTATCAACTGCAGTGATTCACTTAGCAACCGAGGCAAGAAAGGTCGTAAAATGGGGCCAAGCTCACTTAACAAATGTCTCACTTAAGGACAGAAATTTGGGGGTCAATTGTAGCCGTAAGTCAAGGATGGCCTGTACTGTATTATTCAGTTCTGCATCCATCAAGGCTAAAGGTAAAGGTTTTCCCTGCACATATGTGCTAGTCGTCCCTGACTCTAGGGGGCGGTGCTCATCTCTGTTTCAAAGCCGAAGAGCCAGCGCTGTCCGAAGACGTCTCCGTGGTCATGTGGCTGACATGACTCAACGCCCCCGAAGGCGTACGGAACACTGTTACCTTCCCACCAAAGATGGCTCCTATTTTTCTACTTGCATTTTTACATGCTTTCGAACTGCTAGGTTGGCAGAAGCTGGGACAAGTCACGGGAGCTCACTCCTAGGGATTCGAACCCCCGAACTGCCAACCTTTCTGATTAACAATCTCAGCATCTTAGCCCCTGAGCCACCACGTCCCATTCTGATAGTGGCTGCTGCCTAAAGATGCTGTGATGTTTCAAGACCGGTTCGTTTCAAATGCATATTTTGGCAACGGTCTTGACATACCCTTCACACAACACATCCTCAGCAAAGGTTGCTGGCCTTCGTCCTGAACCGAGTTATCTTTAATTTCAAAGATTCCTTCCGATGCAAAGTTCCTCTGTCAAAAAAGTAAGAGGCTTGTTTCAAATGCTTTGACCTGCTTGGACCAACATCTAATACATCACCAGTAAAGACAGGAGCCACCCAAAATGGTGGTCTGAAAAGCAAACTTCGCCTTCCAGAGACATGAAAAAGGGACCGAGGTCAAAATCAGAGCTGGAGATGCAAAGCCCTAAAATAATCTGGTAGCACCTTTTCAGGATAAACAGTCGCTGCGAGAGGGACCTTGGAGTCTTAGCGGATGATCCCTTAAACATGAGCCAGCCATGTGC